TCCAGTGAGTCAAACTTGGCATTAGTTTCATGGAAAAAACATTTAACTTCACAACTGAAATAGAGAGTTGTTGACTGAAAATGACCTTATAAAATTAATTTTCAAAACTGTTCAGAGATCTTTCTCATCAAGTTTTCAGCAATGCATAGATCTTAGTATTGACTATTAGAGGCTAATAATTTTGTATGTAGCTAGAATTAGTCCCTATTTTTTAAACACACATGTATGGAACCAAGAAGAAAGTCACAGCTTTTCTCTACCTATGTTTCAAATCATGTTTTAACTAACATGCATTAATTAACATGATTGTAAATTGTAATATAGATAAGGACCAAACATTTGTTCTTGGTTGTATTTAACCTAGGGTTAACTAACACAATTGTAAACTTTAGTGCAGAGAAGGAACAAATGTTTGTTTCCAGTTGTGTAGGGTAGACAAGCCCTGACTGCTGCTGTGGGAGCTCTTTGAATTATTTTGTTTTTCTCCATCCTGTTGCGAAATATAACAGAAGTTGATACAAGCCCCCTTTATCATTCATGTGGTAACAGAGTAGGAATTATTGCTATAATATACTGGACATGCTTTATGTTTAGAGCTGACAATCTAAGACAAATATGATTTATGGGACCATAGTTCAGATGGGGAAGGAAAGGACACATCGTTAGTGAAGATATTGGTGCAAGTAGGCTATGTGAAGGAAGTGGGTTTTAAGGAAGGATCTGAAGTAGACTTGGCACATTGTAGGTGGGAAGCTATTCCTAGTGTAAGAGGAAACATGGAAGAAGGCATGAAGCTGGGGGTGATGGAGGAGATGAAGGGTTCAGTTGGGAGAAGAAGGGTTTCTAGTTCTTTTCAGGGATAACTGACCAGGCATATGTTCACATCCCTCTTATGGGAGTGCACCTCACACAGGCCCTAAAGAGGTTAATGTGGGCCCGAGAGGCCAATTACAGTATCTGGCTGCACCTGAAGGAACAGCCAGGCTTAACTGAACATAAAGCCCAGAGGCTGGAAACCAGTGTAGAGGGTAGGCCCGGGTTCCCCTACCAGCCACTGGGAAGTAGCACTGGATTGTTTGAGATGCCAACTGGACAGCTGGTCCAAAGGGACTTTGTTACCCTGAAAGGGGAGGACTATATAGTGACCTGGCTGGAGGGCTGAGTCATGAAGAGGGAGCATTCAGAGCCATAAAGAGAGAAGGGTCACAGCTTTAATCATAAGATCATCTTTCTAATGACAAAAGTGAATACCAAATCCCTATTTTGCATAATGCCAGTCAGTAAACGTGCACTATGTTCACCTTGAGGGTTTAAAGGTCCAAGGTCACTTTTTGAAGATAAATATATACAGGCGAGTCTCATCTTATGCGGGGGTTCCGTTCCTCGGTTAGCACGTAAAGCAAAAACCACGTAAAGTCAAAATTACATTGAGTTGAATGGCGGGCAGAATCACCCGCACTACAGGTACAGTATTAAAATTGTTATTTTTCTCTTTTTTTGTTTTTGTTTTGTTTTTGCCAACCACGTAAAGCTGAAATTGCGTATGTTAAATGCGCGTAAGATGCGACAGACCTGTACTTACATGTGGCATGCTCCATTGACTGGGCATTGAGAAATTTAATGTATTTTCACAAATTTCTCCCCGAGATTCCTTTTTCCACCACTTCAAGTTCAAGCTTTTTGTCCTTACCTTTTAAAGCCCTACCCAGCTTTGTGCTGATCTGCTGTTGTTTCCAAGCACTTTGTCTTGCCCTTATGCTTCACCAATGATAATAGCCTTGACTGCCCACTTGTTTGCTTCTTTCACAGCTGTCTTTGCACCTTGCTCCATGTGGCTCAGAACTCATGGAATACCCTTCCTGAACTGTCCCAGAAGGTCAACTCTCTCCTCCTCCAGATCCCTTCTCAAGATCCTCTTCTTTCAGGATAGCTATGAGAAATTGGTCAATTAACAATAGTTAGATTGAAGGGCACTTGAAATCAGTTGATATGTATTTAATTAAAAAAAAAAGAAAATGCATATCGCTTGTTTTAAAACTATATAAAAATTGTACATATCTGTTTGTATCCCTCCCCATCACCCTTCTCATGTTGCTCATCTTCTGAGACTGTAAACTCGATGGGGCAGGCGCTGTATCTGTGTGGACAATGTCTAGCACTTTCTAGATGCTACTGGAATACAAATAAACTGCAATCCATTATTTTTTTTAAAGTCAAATTTGAATTGAAGTCAGTTATAATAGGCTATTTTCTTTTTGTTAGCCAAAGTCTGTAGGATCCATGTAAGAAACAACGATACCGGGGAATGACTGAATTCAGTGTTTTTTAGGAGAAAATAAATGACATGAAAGCATTTAAAGAATGGGGAACCTAATTTTTCCAGATCTCTAATTTTTGTGGCCGGCAAAGATTGGCAGTGGCCAGAGAAACATGAGTACATCCAGGATTTACATCTCAATAACGTTATGCTTTGTACACAGTAAGCACCATGATCCAATTAGTTTACTCTATAATTCAAGGAACTCAATGTGGAATCTTCCATTTTGGGGTTAGTTTAGCCATAAAAACTATTCTGAGAATGAACTTTAATCCATATCTTATCTTCTGCTTGAAAATGAACATCCTTTCTATTCTTATCATACTGTTTCTGCTTTTTAAAAATTTTTGAGTGTTAGCCATATTCCTCTTGGCAATTATACTAAGTTGTTCCGACACAGCTATTGGCTGCACTTGGTTACCTTTGGAATTCTCTCTCTTTTCATGACTCCACTCCAGAGACCCCTTTAATAACCTGCCCAGATTTAATCCTGCCACGAAAGCCATGTATGCTCTGATGCATACTCTGGTTTATCTTCAGATCATATAAATCTTTCACTCTGATACAACTTAGTTTACAGACTACAGTAAAGAAGAAAATCTGATAATCATATATGCCAGCTCATTAGGTTGGCCTTGTGGTAAGACAAAATCACGGAATTAAAAGCTGTGTTCACTCTTTTAGCTAAATTGGTCTGCAGTCAGATGATAGTGTTTGTTTCTTCCCAGATATTACAAATTATCTCAACGTTGTCCCAGTTCATAGCATCATCAGTGATGTCAGCACAATTCTGTGTATAAAATTTACTAAGGGCTTGTCTATGTGGATGTTTAGTGCCTGGCACGCTGCGGTGTAAATCTACAGAGCTCCTGTATGCTGTGTATTAACTGCATGGACACTGCTGAACACTAACAGTTTCCAGCTGTGCACTATGGCGCTCTTAGTGCACAGCGGCAAGGTCCGCATGGATAGTTAGAGTGTGGCACTGGTGCATGTAGATTTACACCTGAGCTTGCCATGCACTAACTTGCCATTTAGTCATGCTCTAGCATATTCCTGCTAACTATGCCACAACATACCTCAGAACACTGCGTGAAGCTAGGTACTACATGAAAAAAGATATATAATTATAATTCTTTGTATCAACAGAGTGAATATTTTTAGAATAAATGATATGTAGAAATGAAAGGATACTTCCCTAGGACTATAACATTTTTCAAATACTGCTAGGGCAAATCTGGGGCCTACACAGGTTGCCAGTGTTTCTTCAAATCCATATATTTTAAGATTTCTACAGTTACATATTTATAAAAAACCATAATGACTAATTTCTCATTAACTATCTTTGGGAGATTTCTATTTTTGCATAATGTCTGTTCTTCAATGTTTTTTGTCTTAGTAATTAGGCATGCTACACTTTCATCCTATGATATCCAATTTTTGAAAGAAATTCACCACTACTAGAGGAAGTGACCATATGAACAAAATCTCAGTACTTTTTTTGGTCTTGTTGCCAATGTTGAAAGAATTTTGTGGGAAAGTTGTAGTGGAAAGAGGAAAGTGACAGAACAGAAGCAAGAGCTGTTGAAAGCTATGAGATGTTGGTATTGTGCTGAAATCTGGTATCACCTGTTGAAAACTGACATGTTGGTGTATCCTCCTGAGAATGATATTTGGTGATTTTTCTAACGGGGATCAGTAAAGAATCTACTAAGCAGTGATCTTCACTTCTAATATGATAGCAGAACACCCACTCCTGAAACCTTGTCTTGGATTGAACTGGAAATATCACTTATTTATTTTTATATTTGTACATAAGTAAAATGAAGTGTGTTTAAGACAATGGTATGAAACAAAACATTTTAATAAAATCTGGACTAGATACAAAGGTATGTTTCAGGTGGCTGATTTTCATAAAATAAAACTAGGGATGCTCTCATGTTGGAGAATGTGACATGCGTGGAAGGCTGTCAGAGATAGTAGACAGGGCAGGGAGGGAAAGTGGCAAGCATGCAAAAACAAAAGCTGGGAATATGGCAGAGATATTTGGCAGCTGCCCTTATATGGAAGGGGTGGGGGGGATGCCCTACACCATGCCAGAGTGGAGCTTCCATAGCCTTGCCTATAAAAGGCAAGGCTGTCAGAAATAGGGGCCCTTTCATTGACGATTTTCACTTCTTGGGTGTTGGAAGTGACAATTATTTATTATTTGTATCACAGTAGTGCCTAGCAGCCTGAGTCATGGACCTGGACCCCACTGCACTGGGTGTTTTACAAACACAGAACAAAAAAGATAGACCGTGTCTCAAAGAGCTTACAGTCTAAGGCCAGGTTTGCAGTAGAAACTTTTGCCAGTATAGTAATGCCAGGCAGAAGTGTGTTTTTGGGGGGTGGGGGCAACAGCTTTAGTGTGGATGCAATTATTTTAGCATAAAAGTGGTTTTGCAGTTGTACCTTTTTTTGCTCACCAAACCGGTTCAACCCTCATGGCAAAAGCACTTTGTTGCTGGTAGAAGCTGCATCTGCACTGGGAGAGTTTGCTGATAAAGTTATACCTGTAGAGCTGTACTTTTAAACCTTGTCTCGTGTAGACTTAAGTATCTCCCTCTTCCCCCATCTCAGGCCACCTGCCACCCCAGAAGGGGGGGAGGGGGAAAGGATTATACCTCCCTCCCTCTTCTAACTCCCAAACGTAGAGGGGGAGAGGAGGAAAGTGGGGGGCAGTGAGGGAGTAAGAGGGAGCTGCTGCTGGGAGGCAGCCAGGGGAGGAAGGTCCAAAGAGACAGCGGGGTGGGCTGACTGGGGGTCGCTGGGCCGCGGATTCCCCAGGCCTGGTGGGGGAGCGGCGGCGGGTCCGGCCCGTTCACTCTCCAGTGGCCCTGGCCGGCGGCTCCGCGACTTCCGGACCGGCTCCAAGCCGGACGCAGGCCCCGCGGGACCTTTGGCCGGACGGGACAGTGCGGAGCGGCCCCTTCGGCCGGGTAAGAGCCGCAGTGAGGGGCCGGAGGAGCAGACGCGGCCCGCCACACGGGGCACCGCTGACACCGAGCGCCCTGGCGCCAGTGCCCGGGAGCCGGAGCGGCCCGGGGGGAGCAGGCGGTCACTGCGTGTGTTGAGTAGTGAGTGCCCTGGGCAGAGCGGGCTACTACTGATTGTAAGGAAGTTTAACACACACACACCGCTGAGGGGTTTCCATGGAGATATTTTAACATGTCACTTGACGCCTTTTTATTTATTGTTAAAAATCTCCCATTTAACAATTCAGCTGTGGCGACAGCGTGGCCCGCCGGACCGGCAAAGGGGAGCTGCTGCAGCCACCCGCAAAATCCCCCAACAGGGGTCTGCCCACTAGGGACAGGGCAGCGCTGTGCTGGTCACTTGCAGTAATGCGGGGGACGGACGACATTTTCGGGTTGACCCCAAAACTAAAATATTTAGATCCTCTCTGCAAACTGAAACGTTAAAAAATCATTTGGGGTGAAACAAAATGTTTTGTTCCACCCATAAATAAAACATTTTTCTTTTTCCGTTTTTGTTTTTTGTTTTTTGTGTGTGTGTTTTTAGCAATTTAGCAATACGTTCATAATTAAATTGCAGTAAATTTGGAAACAAAAATTGCCTTGAATCTAAAGGTCCCAATATTTAATTTTGAAAATGTCAAAATATTTTGTTTTTTCCAAACAAAACAATTTGGTGAAATTGACACAAATTTGGTCAACCCAAATCTGCCTTTGTCGGCAAATAAAATAAAATATAAAAAAAGGCAGAAAAGTTTCACCCAGCTTCAATCCGGTAATCTCCACTTGTCACACTACCATATTAAAAGTGAGTACATCTGCAGTCTGCTTTGTTGCATGTGTACTGGTTGTTTATATGTTATATCTGTGCAGAACTACAGATATTTCAAATTACATTAGATTCAGCTCTAAGACTTCTGGCAGCTTGCCAATGTGAATTTCAGTTATACAAAGTTTGGGCACTTCTGGCTCAAATGGAGGCCCCATAATGAACAGTTCTAACTGGGGTTATGTCTGTCTGGCAGTGCAAACGTTCTAACCTTAGCACTTCAGAGTGATCCCTTGCATTTGTTAGATTTCCAAGGTTTCTGGTGGGAGTTCTTTATGAAAGATGTTTTGTTTATGTTGGACATCAAACACAAGGAATAATTAGAAGGAAAAATAGAGTAAATTTCAACAGAAATGTAAGGTTGTAGAGCTGGATAAAGTATGCTTGGCTGCTTACTGGTGAAAAGTGCATTTCTTGGCAAGCTGGACCCTATCAAGGCTTTGCTCGGAACTTCTAACAGATAGTTTGGTTTAAAAGCTCTTAAATCTTTCATTCTCTTTACAAGAGCATGCAGCAAATTAAAAAAGAAAAGGAGAAAACATTTTGTGGATTTAAATAAGAAAAATCTTTCCAGATGAAAGACTTGGTACCACCTGTTGTGGTAAAAATAAGATCTACACTCTTCTACTCAGAACAAAGGCCAGAATTACTTGGCCTACCTGTAATGTTTTTGAAATGTCTCCAATAAAAATAACACATCATGTGGCTTTCTTGATGAAACAAGGTTGAGTTACTGGTCCCTCAGTGTAATTTGGACTCTGTTGCACTGGAATGATATCTATGTACTTTCTCTAATGATGACCTTATATATACACGGTATTGATAGATGGTGAAATTTAGAACAATTCTGGTGAAATTAAATGTTGCTTGTCTGTCAGTGATATAAAAAGTAATATCAGGCTGAAGGTTTGATATTTATTTATGCAAATGTTGATGAAAAACTGGAATTAAGACTTTCATGTAGGCTTTTTTATTTTTCAGAATATATTTTTAAATTATGAAGTTTGTAGTCCTTTCAGTGGTGAGGATGGCTTTGAAAACGTAACAGCTGCATTGCTGTCTGCTCTGTAGCCAGCAGCACTGTAAACCCAGTATGAGTCCCACTAAATTGATTGGAAGGACTCATCTTGACTTCAGTGGGATTTGCATTGGTCCTTAAGCAGTATGAATTTTCCCTACAAACTAATCCTAATACGGAGCACACAGTAATGAGATGAGCCACTGAATAAATGACTGTATTCACTGGGTATTTTCACTTATTTCTTTCTTACAGTTGTTAGGCATAAGGGCTGAATACATCAGTTGTGTAATTCCTTGGACGAGTTTAGTTCATTGACTAAAAAGTGATTATTGATGAAAGTTCTGGGTTGCAACTGGATCAAGGCTGCTCATTTCTCTTGCCTGCCTATTAAACTACTTCAGACTTATGTCTGCTTGCTGTAGCTTTTTCACCATTTTCCATGCACTATTATTAATTCAATAATATAGTTTCTTACCTCGTGTTTCAGTGTTTAGTGTTTTACCTAGTGTGGGGCAGATCCTCAGTGGTTGTAAATTGTATAGCTTCACAATGGATGATAGGATTGTAGGGACTGTATTTAAACACAGCAGCAGCTACAGTCTTACATGACAAATTAATAAGAAAATAAAGAAAGCTGAGATTTGTGATGTACCTTCATTACCAGAGTTAAATAATAGTTAGCTAGATATTTAGACAGTTAAGTAAATACTCTGCTACCAACATTTGGATATAAAAATTTGGACAAATAGCAACCAAACTTCAGTTGTAGCTAACAGTTAAAATTTTCTTTATTATTTAGGGCATGATTCTGTAGGTGTGCCAGTTTGCAGTAACTCAGAGATCAATGAAAATGTGCATAAGAGTAAGAAAAGTATGGGATATTTTTTTAGAAGGTCAGGCTCTTATATTTTATTTGGTGCTTTTTTGAGAGAATGATAGAGGATTTCTGGAGGCAAATAATCTATGCAATAAACCAGGTCTTAATTTAAACCTACATGATCAGCCTTTAATAGCTAGTTGCAATGCAGTGCCATTGTTAACATTGCCCAACTGCTCCCCCTTGTGATAGATAGCAATGGTTTTAAATGCACGTTAACTGATTGTGTGTGTTTAGTCTGGAACCATATTTATTTACATTTGTTACTATTATATTTTATGCAGTATTGATACATGTAGTTGGTTTAGTATTAGTGTTAATTAGCTCCAAAAATGTTAACTGTAAGGGGATTGTCAAGTAGTTTATACCTAAAATTTGATCTAATTAAAAATTAGGTTAAATATAGTTTAAAATTAAATATAGTGATGCATGTCCTCCAAATTAAACGATGTGATTTTTAATAGAAAAATAATCTACATATCTATTATGGGGAAGCTTTTGAAAAGCCACTGTTTTTGGAAGAATAAACCCACACCCCGGAAAACGTAGGTACCATCCTTTGACATCTGGCTCTTCAGCATAAGCAGGTAAATAACAAGCTGTATTCCTAGGCATTATTAAATATTCTGGTGCATAAAATGTCTTCATAAGATGCTACAAAGTTGTTTTAACAAAAACAGCCAAGTTAATTTTAACTTCTTTTAAAATATGGGAGGAAAATTGTCTGACAAATAGGAAAAACAAAACCTCAGCATGGAGACTTTTTGTTTCAAATATGCAATACGTGGCCTTTAATTTGCTGTGTGTACTTTCTAATTTGTTTGTGCAAATGATAGCATGCACAGAATTTATGTGCAAGTTATTCTGCTCACGAAATTGTGCATGCTCAGTTGGAAGCTGGGTTGAATCCTCTGAAAACTTGATTCTTACATTCTCTGATAGTTAGTGGAAGTATTTAATATTTGTATGTGCTAGTTGTAACACAAACATGTAGTAAATGACTGTCCTAGTGGAAAGCTAAAGATACTCATCTTGTTGGTATCCATTAGATTAAAACTAGCATTACATTTTCTAGTAATAAAACATGATACTTCTGTAGCTATTTTCACCTAAAGATAAGAATGTTTTACAAGTTTTAATGAGCAAATAATCAAATCTCTGTGATGTAGGTAAATATTAAACCCATTTTATAGATGGGGAAACAGGTACAGATGTAACTTTCCCAAGGTCATACACCAAATCAGTGGTAGAGGCCATGAATCCTGATTCATACTCCCTTGCTCTAAATGTTAGATATATTCCCTCCCTAAAGATGCCACTTCTAGTCCATGTTTTCCAGTACAGCAGTAACTATTTTAGAGGCTTGGCCACTTCTTTGTGTAAAATATGTGGTTTCTTTTTTTTGCTACAGGTCAGTACTATGCATGAGCTTTTTATAACCGTCCATATCACTGTAGTGTCTGGAATAAAAAGTGATATCATGCTTAGTCCTCTACTAGTTAGTTTCTGTCTGGCAAGATTTTGTCAGGATTAATGTTTTCTGTTTATTAATATATTAAACCATTTTAGTGCATTTTAGATTACATTTGAGCTGATTTTAATTAATGTATTTTATCATTTTTAAGAGGACTCACATTTTACATGAACAAGCTCAGGGTTGTATGTGTCATGTCTATTTAAATTTTTACAGTTAATTGGATACATATGTACTGTATTAAAACCAATATGCTCAGATCCTAAGTGGTTTTATGAAAATGAACAGATTTTTATTTAAAACAGCTTATTTTCATCCACTTTTAACCCAAACCATTTTTCAATACAAATATATTTGGATGTGTATGTATGGTTATGTTTTCGCATTTCTTTTCCAAACTCAGATTTATTTTACTAATTTAATAGATATTCATTGAATCAGTGCTTTTTAATTGAAGCCAATAAAATTTAATGCCAGTTTCTCTGAAGCAATGCCAATTAACTAAAAAAACCCCACATTTCTGAAATGGATGTGTTCATAGAGTGCCTGTCAAGTACATGACAGAAAATGGAGATAAGGAAAGATGTAGAGGGAGAGGACTAAAATTAGGGACACTAGATCATAAAAAGGAATAAGGTTTCAGAAACGTACAAAGAGTTTTTAAATAACATGTTTTGTCAAAAAATTTCTTAGCTAATAATTATGTGAGCCAAAACCAAGTAATAAAGCCAGTGTTATTTTATTCTTAGAATGCAGTTTAATT